AAGAGAGTTGGCTTATGATTTTGTTCTTAATCTTGCGATGACTTCAGAAGGCACAATTCCTTTCTTAATTTGTTTTTTAAAATTTGTATTCAAATTTATTTTTCTGTTTTTTTTTTTTGTTCAGTGCAAGGAGCAGGAGCAGCGGACATCCTGGCCATCCTGGAGCTGCAGAAGCGCTTAGGCCGTCAGTCAGCGATGTCAGTTGGGCGGCATTGAATTGGTTTTGGCTCCTACACGATGGCCTCGGCCAAAAGTTGCGGACAATTGACAGCAGGGCAAGTCCCTTCCAAAAAGTGTCCATTGTGACTTTAATTTTGACCATCCTTCCAAGTCTTGTCTTAAAGTCCTATACAATCCCCGTTCTAGTCCATTAGCTGGCCTTCAGTTGCAGCTGTTACAGTTGCAACTATTCGTTGGGAACTCGCTGCTAATTAAAAAGTTTGACGCAAAAAAATGTTTATGAAGTCTAGCTAGCTGCGTGAATTTCTTATGGTTTATTTCCCAATACTTTTACAGTTTATATTTGGAAATATTAGGTCAACTAGCTAAGCGAATAATTTTATAAATTTATAAAATTTTAAATGTGATCTTTTATTTGAGCAGTTAATTAAATATAAATATTTCTCGACCTACCCTTAATATAGGTGTCTCATATAAATAAGGAGGAAAGTTGAAAACATTTCTCACCCCAAGAGTATATAGACTTCGTATCCCAGACATTCTCTTAGCCTAATTTTTTTGTGAAAAACTTTTTCAAATAATTCCAGTTAGAGCTTGGAATTTGCTTTCGTCAGTCGAGCTCGCATTGAAATTACAATGCATTTGAAGTGCCTTGGCTGGGTGGGAAAAGCGGAGTGGAGTTGTGTTTCAGTTGGCAGTTGGAGGACTTGTCCCCTAAACTGGCGCACTTTGCATAAATTTCAACTTGAAGCGTTGCACTTACTTGACACATTTCGTTTACCCAGACCAACCCACACCCTCACCTTTCGATCTCCGCTCACCTCATTCAACTTTCTTGTTGTTCATTCGGTAAAAAGAAAAAGTTTTGTCTTTTGGTCTCTGGCTCTTGCAACAATTTACCGTTAAAAGCTCAACATTGTTACACTGGTTTTTCACTTTTCACTAAGTACCGGGTTTGTGTTACCCATAAAAAAAGCTTGATATTGCCGAGGGATGGGGAGTGAGATACGAGTGGGTGCGTTGAGTAATCTGCTCAAGTTTTCCCAGTGTCTTTTGTGCAACGTGCGAAGTTTGTCACTCCGTCAGTGAAATGGCAAAGGCAGCAGCAACAATTTGTGCATGTTTCAGTGCATCCCATCCTCCACTTTCCGTAATCCACTTTCCCGTGGAGACATCAGCATTCACCTGGCGAAGGATCTAAGGACAGACTGCGGGCGGGGCAGTTGTCGTGTCAACACAAGTTTTGCATTTGGCGATGTGTTTTTCCTCGGTGTGTCCCTTATTTTTTTGCACCCCCTCCTGCAAGTTTGTTAAATGAGTTTTCATAGTTTTTCGTGGACGGGGGTGCACACCCTTTCGTTGTCTCTGTTTGCGGAAAATTAATATTTTCCCTTAGCCCATTTCACTCTTTATAAAGTTCACCATTGCCACTGGGGTGCATTTGCTTAACGTCAAAGTTTTCTTTTCTGGCGGATTTTTATTAAAACCCCAGAAGGAAGTAACATTTTCAGAAAGAAAGTTTCCAAACATAATGGGAGTTATACCTACCAGCGGGACTTACAATTTATTAGGTAACACCAGAGCTTTGTAAGATATGTTAGAAATTAAATACCTAAGGGAAGGGAAATAAAGATAAATCAATTAGAACGAACTGAAGTTTATATGTATAGCTTTTAATGCAGCAAATAGTTTTAAATAGTGACTTTTGTTTTCTGAAAACTATAGTTTGATACCTATCCACAATGTTGTTAAATTATATTAATAATATAAAAAGGTTTAAGATTTATATTTATGTCAAGTCATATTCATTTCAAATGTTTGCAATCCAACTATTCCACGTAATAAAATAATGCTTTGCCTATTGGAACAATGTAAATGATATGTAAAGTGTTTATTGAGAAAATAAGTGATTAACACTAACGTAGATAAGTGAGTTTCAATAAAGTAAACCTTGCTTTATTCCGACAGGGATCAATCAGTGGGCGAGCAATTAATCAACATATTCATAACCTTTAATCAAGATAATAGTCTTCACAAGAACAACTTTGCCATCATCGGTAACAATTAATTAGCGGAAATATAATAACCGTCATTAAACTAAACAAACACATTGCGCCATTCAGTGTTCGCCACTCGCATAAATTTCAATACGAAACCAGGTACATAACACTTAACCCATGATGCCACCAAAAACCACCCCACCTGAATACATTTCCAATTAACTGGGGGCTCCCATACTCCTCCACTTTCGATAGCAGTTTGGTAAATAATAATACCCGGGCAAATGTTTAATGATATGAAATTAATGCGCAAATATCATAGGCTTCTTTGCCATTAAAGCGAATAGTAAATGGGAAACAATTTCCCGAATGGCACCATGGAAAATTTTCACAGCTGTGGTGGCGCCGCTAGGTGAAAATGTAAATGATATGCGATGATATCGACCTCCAACTGAGCGGAATAAATTGACTCTTTGATTAGCCTAGGTTTTTGATTCTGACAGCTCTTCGGCCTGGAGTTTGCAACATTTTTATTTGTTCAAAAGTCAATTTAAGACCCAAAAATGTATGCCATTGTCGATTTTCATTTGCATGCCAGTCACACAAAAAGAAAAACTGGCAAACTGAAGGGAACTTCACAAATTATGTTGTTGCCAGAGATTTTTATGGTCTTGGCCATACACACACACTTAACGCCTATTTCCCACACTCCGAAAACAACCATAAATACAATATTTCCCGAAAACAGAAACAGATTTGGTTTTACTCGGTTTCGGTTTCCAATCGAGGCCGAAAATTTTTATTGTCCAGAAACAGAGGCAGAAAAAGTTGGGTAAAAGCGACGGAATACGCATGAAATTTGATTTGCTTCATTGAATTGATTTCATTTCATTTGTTTTGATTTGTTCCCTGAAATACGCAAGAACGCAAATTGGAAACCGGACCCCGGATAACAAAAACTGGCACCATCTGAATTTGGTGATTTCGAGAGCTGAAATGAATACATTTCGGTTGAGTTCGAGGCGTGTCTGTGGGGCAGGCATTTGGATTTGGATTTGGAGTTAGATGGGCAGGGAGAGGGGGCGTGGCATTGTGGTTTATGCTGATACTGTTGACTGACATGGTGGTCTGGGGCTGACTTTTAGTAGTAGTTTATTTAGTTGTTCGGGCGATCAACACTTGCCAGATTGCTTTGGCATTAAAGTGTCAGCAAATATTCTGGATTCTGGGCAGCTGTGGTGTGGAATGTGGGTCCTGGCATCTGGCAGCTGAATGTCTGGAATGGGGAAAATGGTCCCGTTCCGGCGATGATTTGGCCACATGCGGCTTAATGCTCCCTAAGAGCCTCGACTTCAATCTGCAGACAGAAAAATTATTTGGTTTGAACAAAAACGTTGATAAAAAGTTATTTTACTTTTAAAATTAACTTTTAAGAAAATATTGTGACAAATGGTAAATATTCAATATTTTCAATCGATAATTCTTAAATTGAATATATGAACGAATTTAAATAAAAGACCATGTTCATATTTGATCAACATATTAAACTAAAAGACACTTTAAACGTTCTGATTTTTAAAAAAATTTTCAAACAATCAGACCTGTTCTGTAATTTGTATTCTTGGGACAACTTTAATAATTTAATAATTTTTTTCTGTGTAGCAATTGGTTTGGGCTCCACAGGACAAGAAAGACAAACCCTGCCTCTCAATTGAACCCTTTTTGTCTGCCTGTCAACGGCGAATGGCAAGGGCTCTTAAAACGTAGCCAAACTATAAATTGGGTAGTTATTTGGGCTTAGTTTGCTATCTCAGATAGATTTTATGAGGCCAGATCATAAACCGAACTGGCGATGGCTTCCCTTGATTGCTAGTTGATGCCTGATAATTCTTATCTCGAGTACCAATCGCATGCTTTCTTTGGGGAATTCGTGTCCAAATAAACGCCACAAATATTCGAAAACCCGCACGTTATTTTAACTGCTCCCCGGTGAGCTTTTTACGGATCGAATCCTTCAGCTTCCTGAAAAACTTTCAGGATCTTTCAACTGATGACCCAATTAATACGCTGACAACCAACATTTATTTATTGCCATTTCATGTAAGCAAAGTTTTAAGGGAATCGAAAAACTTTAAACTTTAGGTTCCTTGCTCATCCTTTGTCAATTCCCCGATGAGAATCCCGAAACTAATCATTATTGAAAACGTGTGTTGCCAACTTTTGTAATGCGCCCCATTGTGTCACGCCCTTTTCCACTGTCACTCTTTTCAACGAAAAAAAAAGTGAAAAGCAAAAAAAGGGAAACAACAGAAAAAACCCAAAGTTATAACAAAATAGCTTTGGTCAAATTGTTTTACAAGCCAATTGGGTTTGGTGTCCTTTTTTGGCACTGTCATGTTGCCTTTTTGGAGTCCTGCGGTTCCTAACGCTTCGATTGGCGTACCAAAGTCCCCAAGGCGTTTGGCAGAGGAAGTTTAAATGTTCCGTCGCTTTCCATCTGAAATAGGGGTTATGCGTCTGATGAACTTTAAAATAAAGTTGCTGTCGAAATCATACCTTTTGGTAAAGCAACTTTTGTTTTTGTGGGCTAAAGTTTTCGTTGTGGATGGTCGATATAGTTGGTATTTTGATATTTTGTGGAATTGACAAGAATTATGTTATCTTTGTTGAAAAACTTAATTTCACTTTAATTTTAGTAATACATTCATCATTCAATATGTTTTTTTTAATAAAAGAAAAATGTTAAATGCTTTTAAAATGTGTGTAATAATTAAACGTGTTTTATGTATGTTTATTTACAACAATTAAAAAATGATGCTGTGTACTTTAACCAAATAACATTTATTCCAATTCAGTCTTCAATTAGAAAATATAGCTTTACCCTGCTCGTTGTATTCCCAATCTTCCGGTTGTCCTTTTACTGTTTGCTCCCGTTCTATCACCTGCCTCTGGTGCTCCTGTTCCTGCACCATTTGCCGTTGGTCTCCGGAAGCTCCCCCGATTTCCTCCCCAGAGGATCTTCGATCTCGAACTGCTTTTTGCCTGGCTTCGGAGGCGGCACAGGCGGCCCTGTAAGCGGCCTTCTTCGTATTGGTGTAGTCCAGTTTGGCGGAGCGCAGCTGCTGAATCAGCATCTCTGCTCGCTGGCGAGCGGTATCCACAAGTTGGTTCTTTTCGCACAGTTCCTGCTGAGCACCGGAAGCAGCCGCCTCGGCATTGCTCACTACGTCCTGGGCGGTTTTCACCGAGCTCTGCAGCGTCTGCAACAGCGTTTGAGCCTGTTTGGCAGTGGCGACAGCGGCATTGAGATTCGCCTGAAAATAAAGTGATTGAAGCTTTAAATACTTTAAAAAAAAACCGATTAACAGCCAGTTGTATCAGTAAAAATAACAAAATCAAAATACTTTTATCCTTTTTCAAATATTCAATAATATAATATACTCGCTAAACACAGGGTTTACGTTCCTAGAAAATGTTAAATGTTAAAAATGTTTAAATTTAATGAGATCATATGTTTCTATTCATATCATATTTGAAATACATTTGGTGGCAAATATAGTTTAAGCCAGTTTGCTTCAACATGTTTTCTTACTCATCATAAAAATGAGTAATATTCGATTGTTTGATGGCTTTTAAAGCTTCTTTATAGCACTCCTTATAAGGTAAAATCGTGTAAGAACGAGGTTTTTAGCGTGTTAAAAGGGGGGTGGGAGCAAATTTGTAAGACCGACTAAAAGAGTCCGTGTTAAGCGATGGCCAAGTGTATTGGTATTGGATATCAATTGTTTAACCCCACCTGTGAGCCGACCAACGAGTAGCTCTCCTCCTGGACGATAATCTCCGCCTCGTGCACCTCGTCCTGCAGCTGCTCCAGGATCTGCTGTTTTCCCGCCAAGGCAGCCTCGGCGGCCTTGGCCGCAGCAATGGCCTTCTCGGCCAGCTGGTGTTTCACCTGGCGGGCGGCGGCCAGAGCGGCAGGTGCCTGGGTGTCCGACGCCTTCTTGGCCTCCTGGGCGGCCTTCTGGGCAATGTTTGAGGCGGTCTGCTTGGAGTTGCCGTGGCCCAGACCCATGGGGAGATTATCGGACTGATCCATTTCCTGAGATCTGGACTGATGCTGCTGGCAGTTCGAGGGTCGCTGGTAGGTGGCTGAAAGGCTGGTCGGGACCAGGAGCAGGTGATAGAGGAGGATGTGACCCAGGATCCGTGACGATGCAATGCGCATAATTATGTGAGCCTTCAAAGTTGCTGCCAAGTTTGCCTTTTCAACTCCGGCTTGAACATTTTTACATTTCAAGTAGTTCCGCTAAGCCAACGTGCTGAGCGTTCTGTAGAATAAAATGTTTAACAAAGTTTTTTTTTGTTAGAAAAACTCCGGGCAGCAGGGCCGCATAACTTTTCCGCGCAATTTAACTTAACGTTCACGAGTTTCTCATTTTTATTTTCTTTTGTACTTTATTCACTTAGTTTTTTTTCCTGCCCTTGCTTTTCCTTGACATGAAGAGTAGACGTACAATGCATGTGGCAACATTTTGTTTAGGCCTGTTGTTGAACAAGAATTAATTGGGTCGTCAAAGTCCTTCAGCCCCGATAAGCTTAAAGTCTTATCGAAATGGCAAAAAAAAAAAGGAAATCGGGCAAGAAAAAAACAGGGAACTGGGAAAACCCAAGACGATTGCTCGGGTCATTTGTGCGTTGATCTGTTAATCCGAAAAGGGTTTTTGCCAGCTTCCCATGGTAAAAGCCTCGGCTTTTCCACCCATTTGATTGAGGGCCCGAGAAAGCTCCGTCATTAAGCGGGTAAGTTTGTTATGGCCAGAAAGGGGCCTTGGCCACAGCCACTAGGCGTATGCGTAATAAAATCAACAACTTAAAATTTAAGCCCCTAAACACGCACACACATTTCTCTCTCAATTAGAGATAACAGATAACTTAAACAGTTTAAACTGTGTGTATATGTGGCCAGGACCGCAATCGCAATTTGACCAGAGTGTGGGTGCTCACCAGATTCGTCCCCTGGCATGAAAGTCCTTATTTCGACCAGGCCACACTCGTCCTTGTTCATGGACCTCGTCACTTGCATTCGCCTTTTTGCGTATTCAAGTGACTGTGCGGAAGTGTTCCATACCAATCCCCATTCCCCGTTCCCCCTTCACCAACTCTTCACATACTATCCCCTCCCAAAAATGACACTATGGGTGCGGAATGTGGGCGGCAAACCGCAAAAAAAGAGTCTTCTAGAAGAAATCGATGTGCATGAAAATTTCGCCATCAGAATTCCGGCCGTTTTCTGCACACAGAGAAAAACGAAGACACTAAAATCATATAAATACATAAAATTGATTTTTAAATTCTTTAGAAACTGCTGGAAAAGAAAATTTAATGATTATACATAGCTAAAGGACATAATAATAAGAGCTGAATTAAAATGGCTCATGTTGTTTCTATTGTCTTTGAAAGTTTTAAATTAGGTTTAACTTTAAATGTTGTATCTTGAAAACAACTTTAAAGATAGCCTAACCCAATTCAAATTCCTTTTTTTTTTCTATGTGTATAGAGTAATTCAACCAAAACGAAGCTGGAATGCTCTGATAAAATCGAATGCATGGATTTAGGGAGGGACTTTATGGAATATGATGCTAAGAGGGGCTGGAGAAATGAATGGAAACAAACTCATTTGTTTTTTGAATGTCTGGGCTTTGGGAAAACTCATAGATCAAACTCAAAGAAAACTCTTGGATCCAATGTGATTTCTTTCTTGTTTCTGATTTGCTTGCCACTCAAATATCCTGCACTGATATTGCAGTGCCCCCAGACTATCAGATGTTCCATCTAAGGGGGGTCCGGCCCAGAAATTCAATTTCCTCTGCTCGATGGACTGAACATGTCCTGTGAATGCTGCCAACTGAAAACCGAATAGTCTATGTGGCTAGGTGGCGAAGTGCCGATGTCGTACTGGTGTTTGGACCGCATATTGACACATATATTCGCCAGCTCTCGAGTATATATATAATATTTATGCCACTGTAAGTGCTTATTGATGTCAGATCTGAAATTGGAATCTGCCTGGGCTTTTGTTCTTATTCCATGCGGATGCACATTGCATTTAAGGTTTCGATTCGGCTCACGTTGTTTTGTGGACTCTCAATTAAGAAAGTTGGCATTTTGACATGTCTGAGCTGAAACCGAAACTTGTATATCGAAAAATTGAAAATTCATATATGCGTGTGGTTCCGAACACACCCGAAATATTTATAAAGTCAGACACGAGGCTCAGCCCCGTGGGACTCCGACGAGGAGAACGAAACGGGGCCGCACAGCCCACAGTAAAATTTAATTTTAATGCATAAGCAAATTGAATTTAAGCAACAGGAAAATTGTTCGTCTGGCCACAAAGGTGCCGCATGTGGAAGCAAAAACCACTTGCCAGCAAAAGGAGAGGGTGGACTAAAACCACGCAGAGTGTTTCATGCTGAAAGTTTCCACCTGACGGCGAGGCAGAAAGAGAACAAAATTTCTTAAACCAACCACAATTAAGGAAATGGGGCACTTTCATCAAAAATTGTTAAGAGTAGGACATGCTCGAAAAATTCTTGGTCTACAAAATTCAAAACTTTAAGCATTAAGGGAGTTGTAAAATGATTTGTGAATAAGTATGTAACCTTAAATAGGTATTTAATTTAGGAAGAGGTACAAACTAAATAGCAAATCAATATTCTTTAGGTATTGGTCACTTCATATCTCTTCATATAACATAGTAGTTACAAACAACTGGACGCGTTTCGCTTATCCCCTTAGTAACCCCTAAATATGTGGAAGACAATTTTATTTGCAGTGACCCCATTTATTATTTTATTCATGTGACATTAGAAACCAGCCTTCTATTTCTGGCTGATCATCCAAACGAATTCCTCGTAGTTAATCATACCATCCCCATCGAAATCAGCCTCACGGATCATTTCATCAATTTCCTCATCGGTGACCTTTTCGCCGAGATTTATCATAACAAAACGGAGTTCAGCTGGTGAAATAAAGCCGTCTCCATCGCGATCGAAGATCTTGAAGGCCTCGCGCATCTCCTCCTCGGTATCGGTTTCCCGCATTTGCTTGGCCATGATCGCGCAGAACTCACTAAAGTCCAATTGCCCATCGCTGTTGTTGTCGGCATCGGCTATCAGATCCTGCAACTCCGCCTCGGTGGGATTCTGACCCAAGGTACGCATCAAGGTACCCAACTCACGGGTAGCGATCTTTCCTGTAGCATCCTTATCGAATTGGGCGAAGGCGTCCTTGAACTCGGCAATCTGCTCCTCCGTTAACTCAGACATCTTCACAGGTTTTTAACAATATATCAAGGTGCTTTTAGGGCGACAGCTGATTAGAATTTACGAGCGAGAACGTACCGAAACTGATTTGAAAATGAAAAGTCAGGGTCTTAATATGCAACGCCTGCTTAGCACTTCATGTAGTGGACATCATGTTGACAAATCGCACATAGTCTATGTTGCCCTCATTATCGGAATCAGCATCGCGAATTATTTCCTCGACCTCATCATCCGACATTTGCTCTCCCAAGTTCTTCATGATGTGACGGAACTCGGATTCCGATATAACGCCGGTTCCATTCTTGTCGAAAAACCTAAAGGCGGCAATAACCTCATCCTCGGTCGTCATGTTTTCATACCTGAGAGACATAATATAAAGAAAATCGCTAAGATATAGCTCGCCTGATCCATCAGTGTCTATATCGGCATATATATCCTGCAGCTCCGCATCACTGGGATTGTAGGCCACAGTTCGCATTAGGTCCCTCAACTGCATTATGGGTATAACCTTGTGGTCTTGGTCGTCGAACAGGGAAAAGGCCATCTCAAGATCCTTAACCTGATCTTCGCTGAGGTTGTGGGTGCGTATGATGCGCTCCTCAGGCGGCGGAGTGAGGAAATCGAAGTCCATGGCCGAAAAAGGGGTTGGGGCTGGGAAATTTTGAAGGTCACTGAACACTCACTTCAAATTTTAGACTAATTTAAATGTCATGATTTCATTTGAAGTTTAAAGTAAAGTCAAACTTGTGTAACAATTTTGTTGGTCGAAATTACTAAAATTTATTTGTAATAGGAATGATTTACAATGTATATAAGAACTGGTTATCGTTCATTGCTGGACCGTCTGGTTTTTATTTTCAGGTTAAATCAGGACAATCAGGAATTATAAAATCCGTCGAGAGGATAAAGCCACGGGTAGTCATCTCTGCAGCTCGGTAGAATTAAAAATTCTGTAATTCATTTGTAGTTTTATATTAAAAGAGACATAAATTTCTATATACTTACATTTCTAAATTTACGTCTCCATCATCATAGTCACAAAGCGAACATAGTCAATTTTCATTTCTGTATTAGCGTCTGCATCGCGTATCATTTCCTCGATTTCATCTTCCTCCATATCTTCCCCCAAATCAGTTATTATCTGACGGAATTCAGTCTCTGGTATAAAACCAGATCCATCCTTGTCGAAGACCCTGAACGCCAGGATAACTTCATCTTCGGGGGTCGAATTCTCGTACCGCTTTGACATTATGTATAGGAAATCGCTGAGATACAGTTCGCCCGATCCATCTGTATCGATTTCGGTGATATAATCCTGCAGCTCATTTTCCGGCGGAGTATGGGCCACGGCTCGCAGGCAATCCTTTAGTAACTTGATGGGGATTACCTTGGTATTCTCGTCATCAAAAAGGGCGAAGGCCGCCTCACAATCCTTGAGCTGCTCGTCGTCCAGATTGTGCGTGTGGATGGTACGCACTTCCGGTGGCGGGGTACTGAAGTCAAAGTCATCCATGGCAAATCTTTAATGTTTCGGGAGCTAACAATTTTGGGGGACCAGTAAAAATTGCACTCAAAATTTTTTTAACTATAATTTAAAACAGGGTAAAATTTTGTCCTCCAATTAAAAGATGTATGATCACAATGAATTTACCTTTGAAACTGAAAGCAATGATGTCTGGACAAATAAAACTATGTCAGATCTAAAAAAAAAACCGGTAACAAAAAAAGCTTTCCTTAAGAAATCTTCAAAAAAATATATTTTTTTCTAATTATTATTAAAAACAATTTTGCTTGCCAATATATCCTCATCGTTTGGATGTACCAGTTAGATTTTGATTGAATTAAGTGCATTCATATTAAATTTTTAATAATTTTGTTCTCCAATAAAAATGTGTCCAGTGTGATACAAAATGTAGTTTTGCAGTTAGGCGAAAAATATTTTTAAAGTTCAGGTGGGTGCGAAAAGATCTTCTTTATCATTGTCAGGAACTCGGCGAAACTTAACCGCCCATCTCGGTCAAAGTCATAGTCCCTTATTATTTGCCTAATGACCTTTTTTTTGCTATCGCCCTTTTCTACCAGCTGAAGAAGATCGTTTTGGGTGATGAAACCGTCTTCGTCTCTATCGAGCATCTTGAATACCTGGCACATCTCGCGTTCCTCCTCGTTTTCAAAACTCGCCATCACAAAGCAGAACTCCCTGAAGTCAATCTCGCCATTGCCGTCCACATCGGAGGCTCTAAAGATGTCCTCGAGTTCCTTTTCCGAGGGACTCTTATCCAAGGATTTGATCATGGCTCCAAGTTCCTTTATGGTTATCACTCCGCGCTCGTTTTTGTTGAGCTGTTTAAAGATGAGCTTATATTCCACCAGCTTTTGTCCACTTATCAAGTCCATTGAGAGGTAAAGGGCTATCTGAGCATCAGTTAGTTGATCCATGGCTGGGAAAAAACTAGAATAGAGATCCTTAATTTTTGTTTTTTTAATTTGATTCTCTGCAACCAAAAGTATGAAATTAAAAACGATTTTACTTTGACTGAAAAGTCAAAATCCTATTGAGAAATACAATGTGTATTTTAATATTCTTACGAAAAAATAAATAAATTAATGAAATCTAAATCTAAAAATAAAAAATAAACTCTAAACCTAAAATGTTTTATCTTCATTTTATATTGCTATTTTTTTAAGTGTATGTTAATTGTTAAATTGTGAAATTCTTTTTTACTTAGCACCAATTTGGGACGACAGAATAAATTCCATCCGACCACAACGCCGTAAAATAGTATCACTCCGGTAAACATAACAGGATTTAACAATTAAATTTGCAACAATTTCCCGAATAATGTTTTTATAGCCTTTGGCTACGGCTTCAAGCGTTGCGGCTGTTGAAAAGGCATGGGTAATTACATTTTTAATTAAATGCGACGCAGTTTGTTCCATTTTTATTTTATTTTTATTTGTATTTTTGTTGGTGCATTTATACAGCTGTTGAGTATTTTTTCTGGATAGCCATTTTATGCCATCGTTGGTCCCTTGGGGCATAAAAAGTTTTTTTTATTTTGTTTTTATTGAGCGTTACGGGCAAATAGGAAAATTATCCAATGCAAAATTTCGTGCAATTTGCATAATTTGGGTGCAGAGAGAGCGAGAACCGAATTGCACAAACCCATTTCCTTGGCTATCCTTTCTCACACGTGCGCTCCCCAGTGACGCCAACAATGGGAACTTTTTGCTAATGAGAAGCAAATCCTGGCCACGAAGGACACGAAGGATTCAGGATTGGGGCCAAAGTTGAGCCACACAACAAGGCATTGTCAAGCATTTCTCAGCATAGATTAGAGTGGACTTTTCGGACCAGAGATGCTGGGATATATAGCTGTGAAGAAAACAATAGTTCCAAATGTTATGCAGAGATATTTGTTTTGCTAAATTAATCAAAAAGCCTTTAAGGTAAATTTAATATATGTATTTTTTTTTAAGGTTTTATTGTAATCAAAAGAAGAAAAGTAGTAATATAAAGTTTTCAATCTGTCAATTGTATTTATTTAGCGTTTTTAAACAGAGCTATCTTTTCGACCACAAATGTGTGCGGCAAATGCAGCTCAGAATATGTTTGTTTAACTTTAAGCTGGCATAAAAAGGGCAGGAGGAAAGGTCAACAGCCGAGCCGCAATCGAAAAGGCAACAGACCTCTGGGGGATTAGGATAATTTGCATTTCTGTAGTGAAGTAGGACACACAATCATAGGATTTCAATGTGCAAATCTCTTAATGTCTGAGTTGGAGCAACGACTCCATATGATATTAAGCATACGCCCGAGTGAACTTTCTAAAAGCAGTATTCTGGATGAAAATGCAGATGAGCATGTATGTATTGTGTAAGATCAATAACTTTATTAGATATTCAGTAGACGCTCAATTGAGCTCTTTGTCGTATAATTGTGAATAATTATTTGTTAGAATTTCTTAGGCTTTTGAATATTTTTTATTCCCACTTTGAGTATTTTTCTATTTCGCAGATTATTATCATATCATAATAAATATAAATTATCTTTAATATATTGTTTAAAATATAACAAAAGAACTACTATTCTACCTTTGAAATATATGAGGAATTTAAAAATGTCCTATTTTATTTAAATTTTAAACAAATTTGTTTCTGATAATAATAATAAATGTTCCGCATTTTGGCCTCTTAATAGTGTTAAAGTCATTAATAGATTTATAGAACTCTGAACGGGCCTTATAAATTGAATGAACTTTCCGTTCATGAATACGAAATTGGGTTTGACTTCGCTTTTCCCGCTCGCTATTTCAATTAAGCATATGTAGCCTGGTTTTGACCGATAGCTTTGAAATCCAATTGAGTGGCCATTGGCCAGGATATTCAGCTGCTAGAAACCGTTGGCCAGTTTGAAAGTAATGCCATTCAATCACCGCGGATAGCAATTTGAGTCGCAGATTTGTCTATGCCAAAGCGATTCCAATGTGCGGATCCGTACCCGGACTCGGGTCACATTGTAGCGACTGGTTGCAATCAGTTGTGGCCAACAATGAGCAGAGGCATTTGTGAGAAATGAATGCCGGCGGAGTTTTCTTTTGTTTTCCGCTTTCAATCTTGTGCATTGCAGCTGTCGCTTTTCATCAATGGCCAACAGAGCGGGCACGGAAAGCGAAGTCAAGTCCAGAAGGTCCTTGTTTATGCATATCAGACAGCCTCTCACCTTTGGCATGGTACGGTCTATATATATACGCGAACTCTGTGACTGGGCAAACAACGCACTTAAGCCGGTCGGCAAAGAAAGAAGTGTAGAACAAACCCGACTTCCTTGGCTCCTGGGGACCCCATTGCCTCTCCTGTTTGTTTCTATTTCACTTTGATGGCACGTGCGTGGAGTGGTTTTGAGTCCAGGTGATTCGACTGGAGTGGAAAGGCAAATATGCAAGTCAATACCAGAATGTTGCCCTAAGGCGATGTGATGGCTGTTGGGAGTACGGCAAGTGAAATCCACAGGAAAAGGCATTTTTAAATCGAGGGTTAAAGGAAGTTATATATTGTCTATGACTCATGAACTTGTGTGAGTTTAAAATCTCTTCAAAGTGTAAATAAAATTATCTTCTCACATGTTTAAATCATTTTAAACTCCTGTTTCAAGAAGTCCTAGAAAGGTAGCTTTAGATTAAAAGAAAACCAGCTGGTTAATTTTTGACCTACATGTTAAACATTTTAAAATATTTTTACGGCTAAGCCAATTACCTTCCATTAAAATCTGGGTTAGAAGGGAAATCAAGGAGCCTCAGGCTGTAAAGAATTACAGGACTCCGTAAATATTTCCACTTTCCTGTTGTGCTGCTTTCGCTCTTATTATGTTGAAAGCATCTGCAGAGCTGCAACTAATCCAAAAACTTAAAATCCAATCTGGAATATAACTTTGTTTGACTTTTGTTTGCCGCCTTGTATTTTCCCCCATTTTCCAAGATTTTCTTTGTTTGTTTTTGTGGCGCAAATTGCATTCTGTGGGTGTCAACAAAACGCAACTCTCTGGACCGCCTTTTCTCTTGGCTAGGACAGCATGAAACATGATTAAATTACTCATACGCCTCGTGTGTGTGCTTGGACAACAACTTCTATAGCGTTTTTGTGTTTGCTGTTGTTGCACTTGCTCTCATTTAGTTAATTAAGTTTTACAACAGCTTGCCACACGCCCACAACCCGTCCGCCCCTTTAATTAGTTTTTAATTATTTCAGAGTTGAGTGTTTTCCAAAAATTTTCCGGTGGGCTTTGCGCCTGTGTTGGACTTTGGTCCAGAGTTTACTTTTTGTTTGAGTTTTAGTTAATTTTATTTGTATTTTGCAAGTATTTGTACGCCCCCTACAAAAAAAAAGGGAACTAGGGCTTTGTTCATTTAGCACATTATTTCTACACGCTTTGTTTTTACTGCAGTTGGTTTGTTTGTTTGCTCGTTTGTTCTGGGCTGGCTAAAGTTTTGTGCAAGCCCATTAGCCTAATAGCCCAAACAGAAGTCGCCGTCAACCTCGGCAAATTTAGTAAAATTAACTTTTGTTGCAAATGAATTTAGGCAGAAACTAGTTCTGTGACTCATCTACACAGAATTCAATAGGGCCATACATTCTTTGAAAGGAGAATCGAAATGGTATATTTAAGTTTTTTATAAATAAAAAAAATTATATCTTTTTTTAAATTAAAATTTAAAAAAATTGTTTTTTATTGTACTTATTACTTATTATATGTAATAGGTAATCATTTTTGGAAAGAAATTAAAAAGTTGTAATCTTTCGAAATTATTTAGTAGAAATGTACCATATCAGATAGGTATGAGCCAATTTTTGTTCTGCTTAAAATATACAAATAATGTTAATAATGTGAGCGAATGGTTTTTTTTGTTCACTCAGTAATCGCCTTGAAACAGTTTACTCAATAATGTCCGTTTACTCTGCAATCGTATTAAAATCGAATATAAAATAAAATTTCCTGCCCAGAACCACACGTTGATTTTAATAAAGTAATCTGTATGGAATGGGATGAAATAACTCTGTATGCACATGCCTCCTGCCTTTTTATAGTTTGGTCATCAGCATAACACTGATTGAAATGGGCCAGCAAACATTTCACTTTATCAACTTGTGCATATTTAAGCGTGTTTGTATCTGAGTCTGTGTCTGTTTCTGTGAAAATTGGCTCAAACGACAGCCTGATGCAGCCTGAATACAAAGGGAATTGCGGGGGACTCGGCCTAGAACAAATATTTACATGGCTCGGTGTATGGCATTTGCCATAAACTACCGTAAAACAATAAAATTCGCAATAAACCAAATGGAAAGCGGCAACTGCCGGCTCATGTGAAATGCATTGAAAGCAACAACGCAAACAAAAGCCACAATACAGCACAATTCAACAACAAAGCCAAACGAAACGTTTTTCATAACTTAAATTGCCAAATGCAACGGGGGGTTAAAAACACAGAACAAAACAAAAAAAGTGAAGAAATAAAAGAGTGGAACGTCAACATAACAGTTGGGAACAAAGCCGTAAAAACAATGGCTAAAGACGGAATGGAAAGCTTGAATCTGATATATCCAGACAACAAACATAAGCAATTGGATTTGGGCCTCTTGACTGATATGCCTTATCGCTTTTATTATTTCCAATTGAACCACCAATTTATAACCTGCCACAGAAACTGAAGAATTATTACTATGTTTTGACCTATAGAATTCTGAACTTCCGTTTTCGTCTCGAAAATATTATTCTTTTCGATTTTTGATTCTTTTTTTAATATATCATCTAAATCAGGGTCCACGGTTTCATCTACCATCTTCTTTAACGAGGGGCAACTGCCTTCATCCACATTCGCATCATCCTTCCAGATATCGGAGGTTTCGGCTACACAGTCTGCTAAAAGTTCAAAACATGCTTTAAAAACTAGTTGTATTTGTGTTATTAAATTGATTTTAATTTGTTTTCTTAATAAAATAACTTGTTTTTAAAAGTATCAATTTAATAAAGCTAATCTTGAATTTTACATTATTAAAGAATAACAAATGTTTGTTATGTTAAATTCAAAAGCTGAAAATACATAGTAATATACATATAAATATGAATCATTTTAGTAAATCTTTTTCTACCTAATAACATTAAAAGGATTAAGAAAAATTAAGATCAATCAGTAATTTGTAAGTACCCAGTGTGATGTATTTTGTTTGCTTTTAATATATGTTGTCTTGGCAGAAGTGACAAAAAATAATATTTTTTTAACATTGAATATTTATTTTAGTATTATGTCTTCTTACCCTCTGCTTGATGTTGGCCCAAAAAGGCGAAACCAAAGACTATCAGAAAAGTAAACAGAGTTAACGACATGACTACCTTGAATATACTGCGTTCCTTTGTTATTTATCGCTTATATTTATAGGTTCGTAACAGGTAATTCGTTTCGTTTTCGGTTGAAACTGGAACGAATTGTGACACTTCCCGTATTTTTAGTTGGAGTACACTAGTTTCTAACTTTTTGCAAGCTGCATAATCTTGTTAGCCTTCCGCCTGGCAACACTCTATTTTTAGCTGCTCATCTTTATGCTGATTTATCTGTAATCCAACTTACGTTTTAGCCACTTAAGACCGCAGTCTGCCTTTTGCCACTTGCCAACTTCCCTGACCCCCGTTCGGGTTACAGGTGGCTTTGTAACAAACTTAGTTCAATAAAGTTCGCCCTCGTCTGGTGCCTTGCGCTTTGATCATCGCATCACATGCGTCTAAAGTGGCTTTTCCTTTCTACCAACACTTTTAAAGGCTTTTTTGCCCTCGCAACCGGGGCAACATATTCCGACTTAGCGGCCTTCCCCGGAAAATCTCTTTGAAGTGGGCTTTGGGCTGGAAGGCCAGCGTCGAGAGTAGCAACTGTATCAGCTGTTTATATTTAGGTCCTTTAATTTATTGCCTGTCAAGCTGCTGGTCAGTTCGGTTGATAAACGGCTTAAGCCGATGGCCAGGATTTCTCTCTTTCATTTGGCTGCCTATTCGACATTCAATAATTTGCCTTCGGGCGGGGATACACTGGTAAAAAAAACCGTCGATTTTCAGGAACACTAGGCAAATACCGAATTTGGTCAAAATATGTCATCATTATTATTAAAAAAACAGACGTAATGGTAATAATTTAAAACTTATTAATTATTATATATCTTAATTGGAAAAACTAGCCTACAGTAAGAATAATAATAGGTATTTACTTTATAAGGCAAATCATATCAATTAGTAAGTTTGAAAACAAATATTTATATATTTAAACAAATTAATTTTATAGCCCCAATTTTAATTTTATTGAGATTTCATCTTACAACTACATAGTACTAAGACTATTATTCTATATATTATTTAAGGCAATGAAAGCAACATTTTTTTTATATTTTCTCAGTGCAAGTGTCTCATGTGAAACTCGCTTGGCTGTGCAGAAATTAAAGCCATGAAGGTTCTTCTATATAAGTAGGAAGTTGTTAGTTGCTGGCAACATGAGAAACAGCAGCAACTGCAACAGCAGCAACATCCAACTTGTAGTGCACTTGTTGTTGCTGTTTTCGAGTGCACGACGCCGTATGCAATTATCACCCGAAAAAATACTACAGGGCCAAGAGTGCTCCTGCTGGTCGCAGGTAGCAAAAATAAAAGGGGAGAAAAATAAAACTACTAGCTACAAATTCTGCCAACATTATGTGCTCAAAATGTAAATGTCATTGTGTGCCGAGAACGGGGCAACTACAACAACCGGTGCTCGAGTGTTGCAACATTTGAGAAATGTGTGTTGCCAGTGAAGTGGCACCAGGACAAGCAGGACACGGTCCACAGTCCACTTGCCCACACTCCATGAATAAATGTTAAAACACAATCGAGAGCCGTAAATTCTGAGCAGTCATCTGCTGAAATAGGTGTAAGAAAATGGAAAGGCAAAGAGGAAAATCCAGGAATAAAAAGGCCAGCACAAAGGAGCAGAAAGGAAACGAGAAAATTCCATCCGGAGGCAACAATGAACCCGGGGAAATGTCTGTCACGAGGCAGCAGAATGAAACAATGCAAAGGGAAAAGTCTAATTGGTATAATAAAATGTCATAAGGCGAAAGAGCAATGCAGCCCGGTTCTGGCTCTGATAATTCACCAGGGACAAAGGGAGTATCTATATTGATGATGTCCCCTGATGGGCCGATTTCGATTGATTGCAGCAACTACACATTGATTTAGCCCCGATTAGACAGCTCGGCACAACTGAGGTAATTTGGCGCGACGAGACAAAGAGATTTTAATCAATTAAAGATAATTTCACAACAGCTACATTTTCTTCGAACATCTCACTTGACAGGACACACAATGAAAAGCGATTACGGGTGAACATTGTATAATACTGGAATATACCCTGGACTTAACACCCTTTCATAAAATATTCAGCATACATATACATTTAATTTTTATTATTTTTAGATGTTGTGTTATGTTTTAAAAATTTTAATCAATATTTTTTACATACATACATTCATCATGACCATCAAGTTCAATACCTTGTACATACGAAAAAAAGGAAAAGTTTCTAAACTGGCAGCAGCCACTAAAACCCTGACCACGCCCCAACCGCCCATATATCAACTGTCGATGGCTATAAAGCTTCGAGTTTTCGCATCTTCGCATCTGCTGGTGCTCCATTCAACCAGCGCGAGAGTACAATCAACAAAATTAGTTTCATTTGGGCAAATGGCATGGCTACCAGTCGCACCAATTCGAGGCACATAACAGAGACTTGGCTTAGATAGGAATTTGGGAGGGGTCAGGACGGTGAGAAATTGCGGTGCCCCCTTCTTTATAGTATATATCTCTGCTTTTGATAGCTCGACCTCGCTTTTGATCTTCCCCGACTGCTGATAAATGATAAGATGTCGGAGGGCTAAAAGAAAAATGCTGCAAAGTGTAGAAAATTGCGCCGCAGGTGTGTGGCCCATCATGTTTCAGCGTCCAACTTCAAGGATACTGCAAAGAAAATAATTAAAAATTTCTCAATCTTTTAAAGAAAACGTAATTCAAAAGAAAACCTCAATGGACAGTGGACTGCCACAAAAGTAAGCCATTGCCAATTAGCGGGGAAATATTCAAACAAAAAAGAGTGGGGAAAAGTGTCTACCCTGTAGGCCCCCTCCACAGACTGGTGCCCTGGAAAATGAGGAACCACTGCAAACTTAGAGAAAAAAGGGTGTCAGAAAAGGGGGGAAACTGTCTGTCAACATATAGCCATAAATAATGGCCAGCTGCTGGCTGCTGCCAGCAATTTATAAATCTGTTTATTGTAACATCCTGTGACTCGCGTTTTGTAATTTATGTATCTGGAATCTAGTTAAGCCTGTTGAAAATCGGCTAATGAGCGTCCGATTGCAGCTCAGTTGGGTTGAGGAATATGTACATAAAAGCCCGTATTACTTTTTATGCACAGGAGATGTTGCTCGAGCAAATGTAGCTCTTTCATGTTTATTTCCCTTCGTGTTTACACAAAGTTTCTGTTGGTTACGTTTTGGTCAACTGGCTGTCAATATTTTATTGGCTGCATTTCGCTTTTTATATTGCATACCGCGCAAGCACATATATGTATACCTTTCAGTGCAAAGGGGCCGATATATACATATATAAATATTCAAACACACAGAAAGGAATATTCCCCAGAACCGACCAAATGCGCAATTTAATTTATTTCATGCAAAAAACGTACGAAAAATGTGGGTAAGGAAAGAATTGAAAAAATACTCGTAAATATACGATGTTCAATGACGCGACAAAGGACATTATGATGAAACGTTAGGGAATATTTTAGTTGCTTAATTGGCATTTTGGAACTCTTTCCCAGTATTTTTTAATGTTTAAATATGTGTAGCTTCCTTCTTTTAGCCACATTTTTTCTTAAAATCAAATAACTATAAGTATAAGAATCTAAAATTTTGTATTCATATATTCCTAATATTATATCATTTCTTTCAGTAGTTTCGGTCAGTAGTTTTGGTTAAATTTAAATCACTTATTATTTCGTTTTGGAACTCAAAATGCTCAAGAGAAGTACGTTGCATAGTTGAAAAAGGAAATTGGAACCAATACTTAAATGCCAGACCAAATTAAAAGAGTTTTTCCACACATTTTTCTTTTAATTTCCCCCCAGGTTTCCGTCTCCTTCCGTTTTCGGTTTACGTTTGCTCCCTAATTGTGTATTTTTTCCGTATTTAAATTAAATATGTCTTCTCCTCACACCCATTATACCCACAGTTTAACCCAATTTATTTTTTTCTTTCTGTTTTCCATCCACGAATTTTCCGGGCTTTCTTTCGGTTTTGCATTATCTTTTACCCGTTCCCTTCTTTTGGCGAGTGCATTCCCACTTCGATGCCCCTCGTTTCCTCTGTTCTTCGTTCTTGGTTTCCATCAACACTCTCATCATTTCTTTTGTTTTGTTATTTCTTTTTTTTTAATGTATTTTTAGTCATGTCATTCAGTAGGGTTCTCCTTTATCACCTACCCGCCCCCTCCGACCCTTCATTTTTTATGTCCTTTCATTGTCCTTTTTGGATGGTGGAAAAATAGGAGGGAAGACTGTGCTGCAGTGAGCATTTTTATATGATGGTACCCCGGTTTCAGCTTCTGTTTTACACTGGCATACACATTTGCATTTTTCGAATGCTTTACAACCCTTTTACCCCCGCTCTTTTTTTCGGAGCTTGTTTTAATTTCTTTGGCCAGAGTTTTGTTCCTGTTTGCCCCATTTTTTTTGTTCATTTGTCGAGTGGGCGGGGTTTCGATGACAGCATTGAAAAACTCCTTTGCAGCATCGCCCATCGGAGTTGCAATTCAATTGAATTGTCAGCGTTTTGCAGTGAGAAATGTGTCATAAAACGTTGGCTCGTTAGGGCTTACATTTGTATAAATTTTATTTTTTGGCAAAGTTTTTGTAAATGAAATTTGAATTCGATTTATATTTATAAAAAAACACCGTTATGCTAATCCCGTTAATTCTCTTTTATGCTTGCCTTTTCATTTAACTCATAAATGAATTAGTTGTCTAAATGTAAACAACAGTTTCAATAGTTTTTAAAACTTATTTTGCTGCTATTGTTTGTGGTTTTTTATTCGCGGATTTTCGCAATCACCCTTCAGACCCACTCAATGCTCAATTAATTTATAATTTAAATGCACATTGTGTGGCTTAATTATGCTCATTATAAAGTCATCGCCGGCATTGTTCGCCGCCTGTCATGAAAGTTGGTCGGATTGGTGTTTCAGCAGAAATAATTAATGTTTTCATTGGCGAAGGAGTGGGAAGCGAGCTTATCTATAGCCCTGCATTGGGCTGTC